GAATTTCCCCATTCGAGTATAGATAATCACCGGCCCCGGTCTCCGTTCGCCTATAGTTTTTCGTCGCTGGAAATTCTTGGACCACGTAAAACGCGATAATTTTTACTTTTTCCCCGTGGAAAAGACAAAACAGAAATCAAGTCTGCCCGAATTAGATTTCGCTCCTCGACAGCCATTCATCTTGTTTAATTATTTTTTCCCCTTTTTATTTTTTTCTCTTCGTTTTCCTGAGTTCGAAAGTGATGATCGCGTTTAAAGTTTGCCGTCGCGGTTCAGGCAATTAACGTACGTCTTATAGCTCGTAGAATAATCTTAACTACGTGTGTAAATATATTACTCGCTATTGCTTTTCGTTTCCCGTTTGTGGCTCGACATCTCCTAGACGCAAACACGTGCACAACTCGTGCAACGATACCTTTTGCGCTCCTGCGTAATGGATCTTTAAGAATCGACCTCGTATTGTCCACGTTGATGTATATGTACGCACGTCAAATTCAACGTACGAAAGCACCAAGAAAGATTGAGCACCGCGCATGATCGCAGATTAAGGATGCAATTTATACGTGTGGTTGCTTGATAAGGTATGCGTGTGAGTGACGGATGTACGTGTGTGTATGTATGTACGCGTTGTGTGTATCGTTTTACTGGCCCTTGAAGCGAAGAATGGAAAATCATCGCTAGTTTGACGGACTGACCTGTCAGCTACGTCTTCGAAAAGCTCGATACATCGTGACTTTTTCTCTCTCTCTCTCTCTCTCTCACACACTCTCTCTCACTCTCTTTCTTTTTTCTTTATCAGACACGTTTTCGAAGGCTCGCTCGCTCGATCTCGCGCGTAGCCATTAAACATCACCCGAACGCGCTCGTTAAGAGCACCTCTTAAATTATTAATACGCCTTGCTGGAATTCTTTCCGACAGCCGTGTAAGCGCACGAGAATATGACGAAATCAAGAATCTAATAACGAATTCAGGTACGTCGACACCCATCGAACGCGATCGACGCTGAAGGGTTGAAATTTTGAAAGACGTTGTCGAAAGACGAACACATCCCTTTATCTCTGCGCTTATCTCGTACGAGAGATGATTCTTAAGTTTAAAGGTCGAAGAAACGAAACGTCGATGGAACCCGTGGAAAATCGGAGAACGCGAATTCCGAGAATCCGAACATGGAAACGTTTCGGCTCGACGCCCGAACGGACGCGAACAGAGTTCCACGTTTCGAGATTGATCATCGCGAATGCAAATTTCACGCCAACCCATTTCTCTCTGCCTCCCGTTCCCGCTTTACGCGTCGCCATTTTTTATCCGAAGTATGTCAACCGAGCGGTCGAAAGCGTCCACTCCGATCGCAGAAGGTGATTTCAATTCGAACGCGTAGCCTCGATTAGTTAGTTGTCAGTTGACGTCTGTTAAGGCACTTGAAATGCTAATTCCTCTAAGGTGGGGCCTTTGTAGAAAATTGGTCGCGTTCGACTGCTATACCCGCTTCCCTGCCTCACCGATGGTTCACCTTCTATGGGAAATTCAATAGGTTCGCATTAACATGAAACACAAATTGCCGATGCGCCTTGTCCGGGTTTTCGCGAATCTATTCTTCGCTGCGCGACCTGGGAATGTGTGTGCCCGTGGAATGTTCGTCGTTCGCGTTGAGAGACCCCGATGGACCGCGTTATGCTTCTCCGGATAAATCCCCGGCTCCAACGATTATTCCATGACAATTTCAACGACGATTAACACTTTGCCGCGCGAGCGTTGGCAAGATTGGAATGTGGTTAAGCGACGAAACTTCTCGAATCGAATAACACCTTTACATCCGTTTCGCCTGATCGAGCTCCGAGAGAAGAAAGACACCTACGCGAGTTTAGCCGAAAGGAAAATATCGAGATGGAGAAAGGACGACGACGACGAGGACGCGTCCTAGCGTTGGGATAACGTGGCACGTATGTACGTATGGAGGAACGACAGAGAGAGAGGCTTCTCTCAGAGATGAAAAGTTGACCGGAAACGGTATCGTTTTATCGTCTGCGTCGATAATTAGCCGAAATGAATCGTCTCGAGGTGGAGGTATGTATAACGGAACGAGCGACGTCGGGATGTATCGCGTCGAGAAGCGTACGACCCGGCACGAGCTCGCGGTGAAAAAAATGATAATGATCAAAGAGGGTGTCGGCATGACGTCAGTATGCATTTCTCATCGCCCGTGTTGTGCTCAGATTACTGACGGCTGCGCTTCGCCGAAGAAATCCCTTACAGGAAAGGTACAACGGTATCAGTCATCAAGATCGTAGAGTGGCATCCTGGGTGGCACCTCGTTCATTTTCGGATTGAATTTCGCAGTGACGATCGCACGAAAATTATTCATACGGTGAACCAGAAGGGGCGTGGTTCGTCCTGCGGGCCCTATAACGGGCTACCTATATATTTCGTCGTTCCAGTCGTTGGGACGGACCACGAACACGGGCAGGATGCTTTCTGAGGAGGTGAGAAATAGCTGATGATTACGTTTCGAACGAATTGTCGGCGGACGGAGCTCGTTTTCCGCGATCGATCGTTCGGGTGAATATCACGGATAGAAAGCAAAATGGAATCAAAAGTCGCGGGTGTCGAAGCGGGATGAAGACGAAGCGATTGTCGGCGACAGTGAATAACAGAGGGTAACGGCGAAAGCAAGGATCTCGATAGATAATCGGCGTTATTTTTATAGAAGAAATTTCATTCGCCTGGAACGACGCGAACGCGTGAAGACCGCAGGGAACATCGAGATATTCGTGCTCCATTTCCACCGAATTCTCGACCGAATAAAAAGCAACGCTCGGTATACGTACTATGTATCTCACTGGTCCTTTGGACGAGGATTCGAATGGTCGCGTTATGAAACGTGTACAAGCACAATGATTCGCGTGACTTAAGGCACTAACAGTATACTGAAGGCCTAACGCAGCGTTCTTTTCCTTAAACGTTAAAAGGCACTATTCCCTATCAAAATACAACACGTAACAAGTATTAATTTATCGACCTTCGCACTAATTCTTACACGTAGAGGTTCCTTTCTTCTTTTTTAACGATATAAACTGGCTCTAACATATACTGGCATCTTGTTCCATCGTACTCCTTTCTTTCTTTTTTCTTTTTTCCTTCGACTACCTTCGAAATAGTTTCTTTTTTTCTTTCTTTTTTTCTTTTTCACTTACCTTTTTCAGCCGCGTGTTACTGGCGCGGTGGCAACGGGGAAACGAGAACAAAAAGGAAGAAAAAAAAGAAAAAAAGAAAAAGAAGGTACAGGTTCGAAGAAAACGGGGGAATGCTACACATGCGCTGTACGTACGGAGACGTCGCGTTACTCGAGGTTTCTAAACTATTTACAAGCTCGCGATCCACGAGCTATCCGATTCTCGTGTGATACGTCTGACAAACGTCACGACGAAACTTCCCCGCGACGTAGCTATCCGTAGGAAAGGAAGGCGACATTTTTATCGATAGCCTCACCGGACCTTCCGGTGAAATAGCCTTTTCTTTTGCACATTTTCCCACGAGCAGCTCCGTTCGAGAACGCGTCGCGTGACGTCCAGTCTGGTTTATTTCTACTTACATAGTCTTTCTAAACAGAGTTTTACTTACTGCACAGAGTCGATGCCTTCGTACGATATGTATCGATATACGGAATTCCCTTAATATACCTTCAGGCTCGTAATTCGTTTCGTGCACTCGGCGCATTTAGATCGACGACAATTGTTAAACAGCCGACTCGGTGCATCATCGATGACGCGAACCCTGATACGCGGTTCCCCTTTTCTACAGCTATGTACACCTCTTGAAAACCGCGAGGAACGTTAGACGCGTGTTTTGCGTATCCTTTGAAATTTCTCCTTCGTTCTTCCCTTTGTTAGCTTCTATTTTTCGAATATTTCCGCTTCGGTTTCGTAGCAGCAGAGTACGCGTTCTCTTGATCGGCCCCGAATGTGTGTGTGTCCCTTGAGCTATCCGTCTCGGTTCCGTAGCAGATGCCAAAATAAAATGTGCAGAAATCGGGCACGAGTGGTGCCCGGTTTTGTCGTTTCGCGACCATGTTCGCGATGACGACGACGACGACACGTGGCACGGTTCGACGAGACTCGAGAGTTTGCATCGCGATGACGCGTTCGACGAACAGGAGGATGCAAAAGCGTTTAAAAAATAATTCTTCGATCTGCTTTCTTCTCTTTTTACAATTGAGCGTAACGTTATCTTACGAGGCATCTTTTCGTTCGCGCAATACGTTTGCACCTTCTACTTTGGCACCTTGTCTGTGTATCGCGCGCGCTTGTGTGTGTGTGTGTATGTGGCCGAATAGGCACGTACCGTTTTCACTGGGCGGTACGATCGAAGAATTTCTGCACGATCGAACGAAAATAAGGAGAACGTAAAAGCATCGCGATGCCGCTGTTTAGTATACACAATTGTATTATTGCTTAATGCACACGTAATACTGGCTTTCGGAGCGTCAAATTCCCTTGTTTCCTTTCACAATGAAAACATCGATGATTGTCCGTCCCTAAACGCAAAATTCTTTGTGCATCATCCGATAAATCGCTATTTAATGCATTAGAAAATGTTTAAACGATCACGATTTGTAGTTTATTTAACTGAGCATGCTAAGTCCCAAGCTCCGTCACCGGAGTTCGTTATTCTCTTTACTTATTAACCGTTTAATTACCTTAACGATATTACTTCTCTTTCCCCTTTACTGGCTCTAATCTTCGCAATAGACGATACATATGGTGCTCTAGACTAGTTGAGCTGGCCTTATTTAACCGTACAAAAAAAAAAAAAAAAAAAAAAAAAAAAAAAAAAAAAAAAGAAAGAAAAAAAGAAAAAAAGAAAAGAAAAGAAAAGAAAAAAAATGAAAACAAACTGGAGATACGAACAAGGAAAAATTGGCTAGAAGTGAAAAAAAAATAGAAGTGACGCGTTATCGCGTGCCGATTTACGGCATACCCGCAGCAATCGCTTCTTTCTGCTATCCGGTTCCTATTTTTATTTTTATTTTTTTTTTTCTTTTTCTCATTTTCTTTCTCCCTTTTCATCGCGGAAGCCAAGCTTCGCGCGATATTCCCCTTTTTCTTTTTTAAACACGCTTCCAACGAAGAATAAATAAATTTCCGTCGAAGATATTAAATATCAACAATTCTTACGCTACGTCGTCGCTCTAGAAAAACAAGGCGAAATTGAAAACAGCAATTTCTCCCCGACGGAGGCAATTCAACAAGAAAAACAAGAAATAAGAGCATAAAGGAAAGCGTCAACGATTCGCTGCGATGCGTGCGACGATTGCTGGCAGGCTAGCACGATCGTTCACCGATAATTGCAATGATACTCCCATTAAATTAGACCTCTAATCCTAATGAACGATTCGTTTGCTTCTTCATTTTTTCTCCTAGTTTCCGCCTCCGACTCTTCACGTTCGATGGAAACGATTCGAGTAACAACGAGTGAGGCTCTTCAGGTCCCGAATGTAAAAAGAAAGAATCATCGTCGTCGTCCACGATTCCCGGGACGAATCGGTCTTTCTCCCTTCTTCCTCTGTCCCATCTTTCCTCCAACGGCTAGACGGTCCTCTCTATCAGTGCCTTTTCATGTGAAGCGATAAGTGGTCGCTCCGCGAGAACGATCGCTGACAAAGATGGCACTTGAACGGCTTCTGGCCCGTGTGCTTGCGATAGTGCCGCGTTAATTCGTCGGAACGCGCGAATTTCCACGTGCAACCCTCCCATGTGCACTGGTACGGTTTCTCGCCTGTAACAGATCAGTGAAACTTTGTAGACACGCCGTGTGGCTGTAGGAATTAACGAGAGCAAAAATTGCCGCACCGGTCCCCTCGATCGAGAAACTAGCCAACCGGCCAGTAGCAGGCTTTGGCCGATCACGCGTTGCAATTTTCACGCGTCAAGATCCTCGCTAAGACGATCTTCGAGGAAACGAGCGAAGCGTGAAAGTTTATCTCAGAAACGGGTGCATTTTTGCTGTAAAAACCTGTACGCGTAATAGGTTATCCCGAGAAAGGCGAATTAACCCTTTGCGCGCGAACGACTCTCTGCCAAAACGCTTCAGAGGGACTGCACGTTCTAACTCGTACAAAGTTACATGTACATAATACTATTGTACGAAAGACCGAAAAAATTGAACAACGCATATATGCGTCCATCGTCCCTGCTTTCGCCAAACGCGTATATGCGTTCATAGTCCACACGGATTGTTAATAACCCTCTGAGGGTTAATTCGTCGCTGTTTCGTTGGATCCTTGTATTCGGAGGTATCGCGTTATGTTGCGTTTGCAATTCGCGAGGATCAAAATCGGAGACGAAATCGGCTTCCCGTTGGATCGATGGAGGGAACCTTTAACGGAGAATCGACTGGGAGGACGGATCGTTTAGGTGTCTGCTTCGAGCGTTTCGATCGAATTCGTCGAATCCGCGAGCGCGGGTAAACGATCTCTAAATTGCATTAGGGGCAAACGCGTGAAAAGAAAGGGGGTAGAATCGTTCCGCATTGTTGTGCAACTCGCGCTGAAACGTAATGGGAAGCGTAAACGCGGTGAAACATAAAACCTCGTGCTGGATTCGCTTTAGATTTACGGCCCGATGCGTATGCACACGTACGCCCGATCCCTTTCATAATCTCCTTAGCGCGGCCACTTATTTTCTTATGCGAACGGAAAGTCCGTGTCCTTGGGAAATTTATAGGGATACGGTGTTTTATGCGTTTTCAAATTTACGATCGAAAGATATAATTGAAAAGTGACACCGGTCATTTGCCAGCCTTTATGCACCTGACGGGGTTCTAATGATCCTTCGTGGGGCTTCGTTTCGATACAAAGTATGGCCGATTTGAGATATCGAACGAGCGGCGCAGCAAATTACGAAAGCGATACGATAAATTTGCTTATCGTTAAAATCGAAAATGTCCGGGCAAAGTGGGCACGGATCCCGCGAGGATAGCCGGATCCCTGCGAGCTACGAGAGACGCGGCAATAAACTCGTAACGAGGCTCAAGTTCGATTTCCAGTAGTTACTTTCGCAACGCGCTCACGTAAGAGGGTAATAAAGCGTTGCGCGATGAGAACATTTCACCTACTGAAAACGCGCGATTGTTCCTGAAAGCCAGCGCGTCGCGTCCCGCGCGCTGTCCGAAGGTTCCGCGCGGCTACGAGCTCGCGCGTGCGATAAGCATCGGCGCTCGCGCGTACGCCGCGAGATATCGTCGCGAGGTATTCGCGCGGTACGTCGATACAGGCGCATACCCGAGCGTTTACCCGCGGTGACTCGCGTCACGGTGCGCCCGTGGGTTTAGTCCTCTCGGTTCTTATCGAGCCGAGCCCCTCTCGCCCTCTTTCTCGTCTCGGGTAAGGACGTCGTGACAGCTGTCGCGCGTTGCAACGACTCCGGATCCCTCAGAAAACTGCCCATCACTCTCTTCTATTGTATGCAAGTCACCGAGCGTATTTCTCGGCCCCGGTGTTCTGCACGATTTGCCGAAGAAAGGGAGCGAGAAGGAGAGTCGGCCGCGACGTGTTCCCCGGAGGTGGGAACAGTCGGGTTAGGGAGGAAAGAGAGAGGGAGAGAGAGAGAAGAGCGAGAGACGGTTGAAGCTGGGAAGAAAACGAGAGTAAGGAGGTTGAGGGGGCTAAAAACGTGGCAGCGGTCGTCGGGCCGTCTAGATGTAGAAACAGCCTGGTCACAACTCGATGACGCAATCGCCATCAAGTTCAGCGGTTGGAGAGGCCGGGAGACGAAGACGAGCCGAGCCGGTGGAGGATCGAAAGGTTCGATCGGGCGAGCGGTTCGCGATCCCATTAAACCGCGCGAGTGGACTCGAATAATGGGGCGACGACGGGAAGACGACGGCTTCCATCGGGTGCTTTTATCTCGCGGAAACCACCCGGCGTCCACCGTTTGATCGATATATTCGCGCTCGCGCGCGCGTCACATCTCGGATCTCTCTCGAGCGAGTGCCACGTTCGCCGCTCGGTTTCCTCTCGGATAGACACGATTAGACGTTTTTCGTCGCGCCGCAATCGCTGTAGATCGGTACCGGAATAAGTCGTGGACACGATTACTCGTTGCGTGGAATCTGGAATGGGACACGCGCGGTGCGCGGCTCGTTTCGCGCTCGTTTCGCGCTTCACTGCGCGACGATCGTTCGGCCGTCGCTCGTTATCCGGTTAATTACGATGTCAAATATCCGTCGCGATTCCGTTCGATAGCGACCGTCTGGCCGGGAATATTATCGCGACTGGCGGAATAACGCGAAGATCGTCCGTGGAATATTTCCACGAGTCGATCGTAAATTCGATTCGATGAGTTTTTAAGCGATCCGGGGAACGATAAGACGGAGCAGCCCGAGGCGAACGCGGATGCACGTGGACGTGGATACACGGAGGTTCGGACAGGCCGCGCTTTCCGAGAGTTATTGCCGCGCGTAAGATCGAAAAGCGGAGGAGAACCGATTCGTAGCGCGACAACCTGGGCGATCGTTTCAAGCCCGGCCACTATGGTAGATATCTAAATCGGTCGTTTTAACGTTTCAACGCCCATCGGCTGAATATTATTATGTAATTCGCTGGGAAATACGAGGAACTAATGACGGGCAAAAAAGCGGCGCGCTCGGCCGTTGCGTAATTGCGAGTAATTAGTCCATTTACGAGCGGACACGAACACGTACGCGCCGGGACGTGCATATGCACGCGATATCGGGCCGATGTGCAAGCACCGGTGCAAACACGCCGCAAACACGCTGCAAACACGCCGCCACGAGGGCATTAATTCTCCTGTTATTAATGCATTTTGATTGGATTTTTACGTAGCAGCGTTACGTTTATTGCACCATAGATTAACGCCGCGTTACACCGTCCGGCTTCATTAATTAACCGCAACAGCGAACTTAGCCACTCATTTGTAACGTCACTCCGATGTCGCGGCGCGTATAAATCCCGCGTTGTATTCAGCCAACGCGATGCGTGTCGAACATCTTTTCTCTTCTTTCCTTCTCTCTTTTCTTCCCCTTTTTCCCTCTCTCTCTCTCTCTCTCTCTCTCTCTCTCTCTCTCTCTTTCCCGCCGTCTTTTCGTCGTATCCGAGAAGAAGGCCCGTTCTCTGCAGCTCTCGTAGGGGGCACGGAACGATTCGCGATCACGGGCAAACCGAACGAGCCTTTTTCCATTTTAATAGCCGCTTTAACGTCAATTGGAACGACATCGAGTTCATTTGCATAAAATATCGCAAGAATTAACGTCCAAGTGGATCGAAATTGAATTGCGAGACGCGGTCTAATCCCATCGACGGGAGAAAAAGGGACAGAGAGCGGGAGAGAGAGAGAGAGAGAGAGAGAAAGAGAGGAAGAAGGTCGCGATCTCGTGAGAAATCGCCGATTAAATTAACGTCATTCGTTAAAGCGAAAATTATCGATTACGGGAAGGGAATTATTTCGATACGGTTTATTGAATGACCGCGGCAAGTGGGTTAACGATAAACGCTAATTGAAAACGACCCGGCGTAATTAAACGTGGCTTTGATGCGATTTCGCGGTACTCTTAACCATATCGCGGCTTCTTCCGGCGATACACGCTCGAATTATGGCTTAATATTTCAACGCGAACGAGAGAACGTACGAGATCCCCTTTTAACGAAGAATTACTCTTAACGAGTTTACGAGCACGAGCATTCGCATGGTCCTTCAACGCGGCAATGCCAAAAATCCGCTCGCCATTTACGACACGCTCTCCCGTCCGTGTCCACGTTTCATCCGCGAGCCAAGAAAACAGACGTCTTAATTCGAGATAAATTCGTCCATCAACGTCTCCATTGTTCGAGGGCTCTTTATTCGAAGGCGTAACAGGATTTTTACGACGACGAGTTTTTGTTCCTCCTCCTTTTTTCTTGCTCCTTTTTCCCAAGGGAATTCTTTAGCCGACGGTATCCGGGACTTGTTTTCAACGGAATCGTTAAAGTCGCGAAAACGAATCACGACTGGTCACGCTTTTACCCTACGATCGCGACGGCGTAAAATTGCACGAGATAAAAGGGGATAAAAGGGGACATTGTACAAATACACGTCGCACGTCCGACTTTCCTTTCGCGTAAATCAAACGGCAAAAAGATAATTACATCCTTGGAAATTTACGCGCGCAGTAAGAGCAAAAGTATAGCTTAAATATTCGGCCGTGATTCCACGCGCGGAATCGGCTCGCGATTATTTATAAGCCGAGGAGGACGCCTGGCCGCTTCGCCGTTGGTGGGTCGACGAGGAGCGAAGAAGAGGACAGCGGACACAATCGACGGCGATATTTTACGAGGATCGCCGCTCGTAAAACATCAGCAGTCGAAGCTGCCGCGTCGATGACAAACGGAGGACAGCGATATTTCGTTCGTTCGATTCACCGACAGGGAGAGAGCAGCCGCTCCTCGTTATCGCCCAGCGATCTCTCCGTGGGGTGATTAAGAAACCCGCTCGGATGTATCTTTGGCAATTATCAGCGTCTCGCAGAGGCGCGCGATAACGCGTCTCTCGCCGGGTCGGGACAGTTCCGTGATATGTAATTATGTGGGCGACAAGTGCCGTAAAGATGAATGAACCTTCCACTGTGCTCGGGATGAACAAACTTCCCGCGCGTCAGGTGCGAATGATGAATGCTTTAGGAAGCGCGAAAGAGATGGCGCGAATGACGCTCGAGACTCGAGAGCTTTTGATTCCTATTAGACTCGAAATCTTTCGTTAAATAGAAGACGTCCGGTATCTTTG